GGTTGTGGTGGTATGGATGGCGGTGGTGGCAATGCCTGCGGGACAGGAGGCACATTGCAGAGTGGGTGAGATAATGATGAGTTTTTTGCTGACTTGTTATTTCGTTCCTAGACAACATGCCGGTGTCAAGAATGCGCATGAGGCCCTGGTTGGAAATGCAGATTAATTCCAATCAAATACCAGGACTGATATGGATTAACAAGGTGAGGGTGGTTTATTACTATTATTACCATCATTATTATTACTTCTGTACCATTAACCATCCTTGTTCATAGATGACACTAACCATGATTCAAGATCATAAAGGAAAGAAGAACATGAAGAAAACTCGCAAGCATTATGTTAAAAAACCCACTATTTTTGTTTTCAGAAGAGTTAACTCTGGCTGGTACACAGTGTAGTAGTGCCATTTTTTAACCCTGGAAAAATTCCCAGGAGGGTAATGATAAATTACAAATCAAGACTTGAGTGAGCCAAGTCCCCTCTCCTGTCCCAGCTGAGTAGCTGCTCTCACACCCCCAGTTGCTCCCAGTTTTAAGATCTGGCTTGAAAGACGCTCTGGATTTGTGTCACTTTGGTTGGGAAGGGGCATCCCTGTACCAGTAGCAGAGGGCGAGATTGCTAGGCTGAGTTTCCATCTTCATCCCAAGGTGATACTGAAGCCAGGACACGTTTTTCTTAGGATTCCTGCAGGATCTTATGGGCACATCTTATGATCAGAGAGTACCTAGAAAATATGCTGTAATTTATTACACTCTAATAGATTAGATACAATGTATTCAAATGATTCTGGGATAAAGTTGCCAGTATTGCTTGCTTCTACTGCACTGTATCACGTGTGGCTTTCTCAGTTTCAGGACTCACAAAAACACTTGGATGCATTGAACAAAAGAGATGGAACCCTTAGATAAGACACAGAGCAGAGGGTCTATAAAGTTTCTGAGCTGCTACTGGGAATTGATTGATTAAATCTGTCATTCCAAACTGGCATGCAATGCTGCTTTTTAATTCAGATTTCCACTGCTTTAACTACAGGATAAGATGATGTTTCAAATCCCATGGAAACACGCAGCGAAGCACGGCTGGGACATGGAGAAAGACGCCTGCCTTTTCCGGAGCTGGGCCATTCATACAGGTGTGTGCAGGCTTTCAATTCCCATCACTCACATCAACATCTCAAACAAGGCAGTTTTTTTGTCGTGGCTTACACCTCAGGTGGTTATATTAACTACTAGAATATACATCAGAGAAAATAGAAAAATTATTGGGTTTTTTTTAAAATTTTGGTGGGAATAACTAGCACTGCAATGGAAAGTCTGAATATTCACCTTTTGTCTTATTTATAGGAAGATACAAAGAAGGTGAGAAAGACCCTGACCCGAAAACTTGGAAGGCGAACTTCCGCTGCGCGATGAATTCCCTGCCCGACATCGAAGAAGTGAAGGATAAAAGCATCAACAAAGGCTCCAGCGCTGTCCGTGTTTACAGGATGCTGCCGCCCTTGACGAAGGATCAGAAGAAAGGTGAGTGCTGGGCTTAAACAGCCAGCACTGCATCAGCAGGGGCAGAACAGAGCAGATGGGAGCACTGGGGCTACTGGAGTTAGTCACTGGTTACTGCCATGGGTAACAGATTGTACCAATGGTTCATTTTATCCCAAATTTTTTAAAGACATTATCGGAAGGTGACCAGGACTTGCTGCTGCTGACAGCAGTAGCAGAATTTGCTGAGCAGGGCCCAAAGCTGCAAGAGCTGACGCTTATCTACAGCGTTGGTCGTGCAGCCCTTTCTCACACTCGTCTTTATTTTTATTTAACAGAAAGGAAGTCAAAGTCTTCACGAGAAGCAAGAAACAGGAGCAAGAGAAAGGTATGTGTCTGCAGCGGTAGCTGAAAACGCTGGAGGTTTTGGTGGTTTTCATGCTTCATTTTTTTTCAGATGGGAACCTTTTTGTTCTTAGATGAGTCTTTCATGCTTTGCCCTTATTTTTGTAGTCGTATGAAGAGATGAGGGCGGAGGAGTCAGCAGAAAGCCTAACCAGCACCCCCCTGCCAGATGACCACAGTGGCTACACCGTTCAGGACTACTCGGGGCAGGAAGTGGAGGTTGAGAGCACATCCATCACCTTAGGTGAGATGCCCTTTTTGGCTCTCTGAGCAGAGTGGAACATGCTAAATCCACAATCTCTGCGCCAAAAGCCCAAAAATTACTCCTGGGGCTGGTGATGGCTGCACTATCAGACAGGCAGGGAGGAATTAGAGGTGGTTGCATCTCTGAGGGTCAACTCTTCCTGATGCATCCCACAGACCTCTCCCCGTGCGAGGTGAGCACCTCCCTGACTGACTGGAGGCCGATGGAAATCACCATGGCTGACAGCACCAACGACCTCTACCCGCTTCAGGTGTCTCCCCTGGCTTCGTCCTCCGAAGGTGGGTTGCTCTTTTTTCTCTGCCTTGGTCTTTCGTTGGTCTATTGGAGGCAAGGTAGAAGGATGAAGGAGTGCCTGGGGAATCAGGAGAAACAAGAGGTGCTTTGTAGAAAACCCAACCTCCACCTGATGGGTTTGGGTGTCTGGAGCTACTAAACTGGCTAGGTTAGAGAAGGGATGAGCTGCAGAAGTGGTTGCTGGTGGGTGACAGGCTCTGAAATGCCATTTTCTTTGCATTCATGGGCAAAGGGGCAAGCTTTGCCTTGCAGGCTTAGTGCAATGGCATGAACAGGTCAACCCATAAAGAAAAGGAGAGATTTCTGAGCTGGGAGAGTGGAACTGGGGCTTCTCAAGGCAGCTGGAAGGAGGCAATGCCAGAAGCAGAGCAGAGTTAGGTACAATAATGACACAGGAGGTAACTGCACTTGCCAGTGAGAAACAAAAAAGTTATCATGGATATAACAAGTGGTCCTTTACTTGGGGTGCAAATCGTCCTCCCACAGACCAAACAGGCACTGCATTGGTGGGTCTTGGGCATCAGAGCCGTGCATCCCAATGCGTGGTTGTTGAAGAGCATCCAAGATGAAGGGCTGGGCAGTTTGGGACACTGAGCTGCTGGTGGGTCTCCTGCCTCAAACCCATCAGCCCCTCGGTGCCATCCACGGGGTGATGTTGTGTGACAGGAGATCTGAAGTGGGTTGTGTGGTGAGGAAGCAGAAGTGTGAGGGCTAACACATGAGAAGTTGACATTAATGTCTGTTTCTCTCTCTCTTTTTTTAAATGTGCTTACAAAACACAGATGAAGAGGAAATGAATTCGCACATTTTTAAGGTAAAAGCAGCCCTTCTGATCAGAATAAAATCGGCCAAGGTTGCTGTTTGCACCAAGAGAGGAAGGGAAGCAGCTATCTGATCTGGTCCTGTACCAGCTGAACGTGCATTTATGTAATCCAAGACCCTTATTTAATGAGGAAGCATGAAAAATTAGATACATAAAGGTGGCTACTTCAAACATGAGCTGGAGAGGGCACATCCATGGGAATATGTACTCTTCATGTGAAAGTCAGAGAAAGCCATTGAGTACTGCTAGAAGTAGAGGAGGCTGTATTGGAGTCTGCAATGCTTCTCTAGAGTTTTTTAACTTTGTCCTCCCCTCCACCACTGACATGTATGACGTTTAATCTGTGCTTCCAGACATGTCACACTCATTCCACTGATAAGATGGGGGTCTTATCTCTGAAGGTGCTCCAGCCCTCCCTGTTTTGCATTAACTTTTTTTAACTGGACGTAAACAGTTTTATATAATTTAGCAGAAGAAGATAGGACCTGATTTTTTTTTTGCTTACTTATTTTTTAATAAAAAGAAAGGAATAAAACATTGCACTCACAGAAAGAAGGAACAGCTTTTACCGTCTCTGTGCTCTCTTCCAGCTGCTGGAACCAGCCCAGGACTGGCACACCACCAGCGTCGGGGGCAAAGGCTTCCTCACCAACGAGCCGGGCACGCAGACCATGTGTAACACTTACTACAAGGAGCAGGACGGAGAGGTCGACACCACTTCAGGTACAGGGGCCTCAGTGATTGCGGATGGGGGTTTTCATGAAACATGCTAATTGGGAGGGAGCAGAGAAACCTATGCTGAGATTGCCAAGTAGCCTGGCAGGAGGCTGTGAGGGATTTGTTCATAAAAAGGAAAAGGAAAAAAATGCCTCCATTAAGAGTATATAGCATACTACAGACTTGTCTTATATGGGTATATACGTGTAAGCTGTGGCAGCTTTCAGTAGCTCCTTGCAATGCAACCAGCGAATTCTTCTAGCAATAGCTTAAATGGGACAGTTTAATAGAGTGTTTGGAGTACCTCAGCAAAATATTAGTCTAAGGTATTTACTAACATCTGAGAAGTCTTTCAACTTTTTAAATATATATAGCATATATACACTATTTTTCTCTTGCTGCATGCAGTTCAGTACTCATTCTTGGTTTATTTTGTCTAGGAGAGCTAGAGCTCAGGTTTTTTGACCAGAAAAACATCCTAGACTTCTCCTGGCTGGATACAATGAGACCTACCATGCAAGCCATTCCCTGCGGCTTGTGAACCTCGGGCTTCCTCCGGCCACGAACTGCTCTTGGCTAGAAACTTGGCCAACCTTGAAGAGAATGGAAGAAATTGTTTGTTACTGACTGAGCAACGAAAGTAGCTTTTCTATTCCGTTTAACTTTTAGGCCTGAACAAGTTAGCGAGAAAAACTTCATTATAAGGAAAAAAAAGTTTTAAGAAGACTCCCATCTCAGTAGCAGGACTCCCAGCACCGGAGATGCTCAGCTGCAGTATGCACACCTTGTCATCGCCTTGGAGGTGAAGCTTTTGCTGGAAGGTGCCGCTACGCTGGGGGTCCAACCTGGTGGGGTACCACTGGCTGGTGGCGTGTGCCAGAGCCCCAGGAAGGAGGTCCCTGTCCTCCATGTGAGATGCGCTGAGCACTTTACCCCGGAGCGCATGGGAGAGGTGCTGTGGACGAGGCTCTTGCCTGTTCGGTTTGGTTGCTGCTTCCTTGTGCAACACTGGTGACCTTGAGCCTAACAACTGTCATTACACTTAGTCAGGAAAAAAATTGCACTAATTGGGCCTCTCTTCTTTGATTTACTCCATCATATAGTTCATCTTCCAGATATTTCAGAATAGTGTAAATAGTTTAGACCAATAAAATGTGAAAATTCAGTTTAGGCTTTGCTTCTACATAGTACACTTACCCGGCTCCGCTCATAGGATGCTATCTGCGTGTAGGCGTGCTGTATCCACTTCCACTTAATCGTTGAAGAGCTGCTGCATGAAACCATTTTTGCACTGATAGGGGCAGAGCTTTTTATTTATTCCGTGCCCTTCCGAGACCCCTTTGAGCACCCTGCCAGGATCCCTACAGTACTGTACACAGTGATCTGCAACACAGGAGGGTGCAGGGTGGCAGAGGTTCTCGTTTAGGTGTAATACATCGGAATCAAATCACTAAGCTGTTATAGTCTTATTTTTGTGTAAATTTTATTTTTGTATATAAAGTGTTGTATATTTGTTTAAATAAAAATGTTTTGTATATGACATGTTTACTTTTTCTCATGGGAGAGCTCTGAGGACGCGTTCCAGATTCCTTGAAAATACCCAAACAGAGACAGTTGGAGGGGGTTTTTTCATGACTCATGAAAGCACAGGGAATTTAGCACACTTTGCTCCCATTTTACATCCACCTTTTCCTAGTGCATCTGATGGGTAAAATCTTGCTTGTCCCAGGAAAGGAAGCCCAGGTCCTGTGCAGGGTGGTTGGATTGTATCTGCCATCTTCTGCAACCATCAGACTTAGAGCAGGGTTACAGGCTATGCTATTTTTAAAAACCCCTCTTTTCACCAAGTCCTTGCTATGGATACCTCTCTCAGTAGCCCTGTCAGCTTCTGTGATAAGACCTCACTAAATAACTCGGGTTTGACTAAACAAAGCAAGCACGTGCACAGTTCAGAAGGGAAGGGGAAAGGAAGCTGGTTTTCTCCTCTCTTTTATTTATTTGCAGTGTTTTCAGGCTGACATGCATCATCGGGGGCTGGAGATGAGAGAAAAGCATGGCTGACAACGTGTCTCCAGCTGCAGCCACCGGTATCTGACACAGCCTGGAAAACCCCTGAACTGAACAAAACTGTGTCACCACGGCCTCTGGGGAATGACTTCATTCGCTCGGGCAGACTGAGGAGAATCATAGAGTCAATAAGGTTGGAAGAGACCTCTAAGATCATCAAGTCCAACAGTCAACCCAACCCCACCATGCCCACTCAACCATGTCTCCAAGTGCCACATCTACACAATTTTTAAAACCCCTCCAAGGATGGTGACTCCACCACTTCCCTGGGCAGCCCCTTCCAGTGTTTGACCACTCTTTCAGTAAAGAAAATTTTCCTAATATCCAATCTAACATCAAGCTGTGAGAGAGGAAGACCCAACCCAAAGGGCTGGAACAAAACAGACATTTCCTACTGCCTTTGCACAGGCTCTGCCGCGACTCGACCTGGAGCCATAGGAACAGACGTGGGGTTTACCAAGGAAAAGAAAATAAATGCCATAGGAAGTGAGTGGTGGTGGGTCCCAAATCCAGACCAGTTCTAAGGCTTGGATACAGCACAGCAAGGTGGATGGGCAGCACGGGCAGGGAGAGGCTGGGCAGAGTTGCTGCGGTCCTGTTAGTCATTAACTGGCTCTATCTGTAAGATGACCCAACACAGGAGCTACAGGCAGTGCCCTTCCAGGTGGCCCCAGGCAGAGCAGCTTCCTGCAGAGCCTTATCCTGGGCTGAAGCAGTGGGGGAAAATGACCTGGCTGTCCCCCCCAAGCAGTCACGCTCCCTAGCAAGGGTACCTGGTCTGAGGGTCCACCTCTGGGGAATAGAATCATCAAATCATTAAGGCTGGAAAAGCCCTCTAAGATCATCAAGTCCAACTGCCAACCCAACCCCACCATGGCCACTAAACCACGTGCCCAAATGCCACATCCACACGTGTTTTGACCTCCTCCGGAGACTGTGACTCCACCACTGCCCTGGGCAGTCTGTGGAAAGGGCCCATCCGGCCAGGAACGCCCCCGGCACAGAGGCCACATCCACCTGGGATCACACACACTTAAAATTCTGCTGGATCCAGCTGCTGGGTCTAGAGATGCATCCATGCACCCAGGAAGGGACAGCATCTGCGTGTCATCAACACGAGAGGAAATTGAGGTTTTTTTTAGGAACTGCTTCGAGTTTGTTAGACATGAGGGGGAGGGGTTGGGAAAGAGAAGGGAAACTTTCTACGATGCAAACAGTCCTAAAAATAAAGTAGAGATTAATTTGTCCATTCATGCATTCAAAAGAGCAAGCTTTTTATAGTTATGCTCTGATTAAAAAAAATAATCAAAGAACAACAAAAAACCCTCAAAAAAACCCTCAAGCTCTTAAATTTTCACAGAAAAAAAAGGTTGCCTAAGATTGGAGGACAGAAGAAAACAGCAGCCAGTGCTTTGCACCCAGGACCACAGACACACTCCACGTGTGTTTTTACCAGGACCACGCTTTCCTCCGCCGCCTGCCAAGGTACCTGCGTGACCGGCTGCATGTTTGGGGTTTGCCAGTGAAAAGAGGTGAAATCCTGTGACCGGGTGGAATTTATCCGTCCGGTTCCTTCCCTGGGTGAATCACTGCCAAGTATTTTGTTGTTGTGTTGTTTTGACCTCTTTGGGAGGGGAAATAAAAGCAGAGTTGAGCTCCAGCTCAGGAGGGCTGCGAGTTGCCAAACTCTGGCCTCAGAGGCTGCTAAGCTGATGCCTGCCCAGTTCCTCCATCAGCTCAGGAGCAGGTGGGGTTTGTAGAAGCCCCACTTCTTCTCCCAACGCAAACTAAGGAGACTTTTAGGCTGTTTGTACCCAGAGGAGCATCGCAAGCTCCTTAGGATAAAGCTCCTGCATACGCTATGTGAGGAAAACACCTTTAAACCCTTGCCATTGTATTTTTCTGAACTTGCCTAGGCTAAACAAGCTCTCGGTCAACCCAGTAGACTTCAGTCGGGTTCCCTGTGTTGGAACGAGAGTTGTTTTCACCTTTATTACGCACAAGCGGGAGATCAGGTCGTTGGCGAGAGCTCCCTGCTGCCAAACCCAGACAAAGCAATAAAAGGGAAGGTTTCATGGGCAGGGCTCGAAGGGCAAGCAGCTCTTTTTTGTGCTCTGAACCTTATATGAAGTGAGAAAGAGCTATAGGCCAGGGGATTGTTGTGAAAAGAAAGAGAGATCACCTCTTTCTGGTGGCAAACATAAAGAAGTCATTATGCCATCAGTGGTCGTTTCGGAAGTGAATGGAGGTGATGCTGCTGGCTCTCAATCACTTACAGCATCCTTCAGCCATCACTAACCGAGGCTTACTTGCAAATCTTGAAACCATTTGAAAACAAATCCAAAATGTCCTCATAGTTTTAGAGCTTTAACATCAGAGAATCATTAAAGTAGGAAAAGACCTCTAAGATCATCCAGTCCACCGACCAACCCAACACCACCATGCCCGCTAAACCATGTCCTGAAAGGGTGCCAACAGGACAAAACCTCCTGAAAAAAACCAGGACAGCCTCAGAAAAAGTCCCACCACCCGAACCTGGGAACACCCTACAGCAACTCAGGCGCAGGTTTTGCTGCTGCAGCATCCTGGCAGCAGAAGACCTTGGTTCATGTCAACAGATTTTCAGAGCTGCAGAGGCAAAGCTAGGACACATCCGTTAACTGCAGCTTTTCCTGGAGAAAAGCCTTGACCTATAAATAGAGTTCTTGCTTTTCCCCTGATTTTTGTCCAAATGACTCGTTAAAATGTCCGTCCACAATTACAGAGGAACATAACTTCCTCCCCAATGCTCAGCACGTTGCTTGCAATTTAATCGCTCATTAGGAGCAACAGAGCTCGACCCTATGCCATCTAAATTAGAAACCTTTTGCTCTTGGTTGCCCAGAACAGTGGCACCATGCATGAGCTTTGCCCAACAGGCAGCAGAGCCTGCAATTATTGTTTCACCTTTATTTGCCGTGGTGATTGAATCCTGATAACCAGACACATTTCCAGGCAGTCACCTGATTTATCGTATCACACCTATAAAGGACAGCAGGCCTTCAGACCAAAGGTATGAATTTATAACTGCAAAAAATAAGGGCATATTTGTTTGTGGTGCAAAGGCAAACTATTGCTTAGATAGCAACCAAACGTCTTGGACTGCAAACGTTACTTCTCAGCTGTTATGCTGGGTTATCCCTCCTCTCCGGTTCCCCAGGGGTCCATTTCCCCCCCACATTTGTACACACAGCACAAGGAGGACAGAAACTTCTGCAGGACAGGAATCTCTCTGGATGGGCCAAAGGAAGACACATTGTCTGTAGAAAAGTCAGTTTTGGAGCTTAGATGGAGAAAATCTTCCCTAGAAAGGGAAGAAAGTCACATTTTCATGGATGAATTGTATGAGAGTTGTATTTTCTCCCACATCAAGTGCTCCAGTCCACTCTGTACCCATTTTCACTGCAGCACCACACTTCAGCACTCTTTTTCCAT